TTGTATTTAGCTATGTGTGCATGTACACAGAACTGTGGCCATACTAGCTTATCAAAGCCTGATCCCATCAGATCTCAGAAGCTAAGCAAGGCTGGGCCTGGTTAGTACTTGGATGGGAGACTGCGGGGAAAATCAGGTGCCACAGGGGGGCACCAGTCATAAAAACTGTTGTGTCCTTAGGCAAGGCACTTCACCCACATTGCCTTGTATAAAAGTGTTGTGTGCGTGAGTGATGGTGGTGGTCAGAGGGGCCAATGGGGCAGATATACAGCCTCGCTTCCATCAGTCTGCCAGAGGACAGCTGTGGCTACAATAGTAGCATACCACCACTGGGTATGGAGTGAATGAATAAAGCTCTGTAAAGCATCTTTGAGTGTCCAAAAAAGCCCTATATAAAAGTGATGTATTATTATTATTTACTTGGAGCAGACACTGCTATGACCCATATTGGAAATCACTGTGCATGAAAAGCGTGAGTGTATACTCTGGAGATGGGACCTTTGTATCTGGAGCTGTGGAAGTTTTTTCAAAACTGCTGCTCATCTTTGCCCTTGAAGTTTAGTTCATTATATAGCTCATTACCTCCTGTTTTCTATATTATGAGCTATTTCATATGTATTTATACTCTGCTGTTTGGACTCATGCCTTTGTTCTGGCCCAAACCAGAGCTGTCACAGGCGTTTGAAGTTGCTGGGCCTTCCACACCCTCCCTGTGTTTTTCTACCTTCTTCCTTTGCAGTCTTAAAGTGCTGTGTTGCCTTGAGTACACTTTCCAAAGTAGTATGTTATTGCTGTGTGATGTGTCTTGATGTTGTTTTGTGCGAATGGTGCTGCGAGATGAGATGGGGCTCAATTTTATTTTTTTCAAGATTTTGAGTAGTTTGGTTTTGTGAAGCATTGAGTGGAACAAAATGATCTTTGTGCTTCAGGGGCAACTAATGTAAGAATCTTACTAGTAATTCCTGCTTAATAAATTGTTACTTCCATGGAGACAAGTAAAAATGCATGTTTTTCAAGGGATTCAAGGATTTATTAAGACTCACAATTCACATCTCTGATTCCTTTTTCTTTTACCATGAATAAATGGAGACAAAAAGGTCACTGCTTAGGCCTTCAGTTTATTCTTTTCACAAAAATGTCCATTAAAACAGTTTTTCTAAAGTATTAGTCATTTTGTCAGGAAACCAAAAGTGCCCTTGATTGCAGTATGTTAATATAAACATTGCTTTTTTGAAGTTTTTATTCTTTTTATTCTATAATGCGAATAACCCTGAATTATGTGTACTGTTTTATCCATATTGTTAACCAATATGAGAAGCCTGGGAGCTGTCTGTGAGCGCACACATCTTGGGACTGTACGGCGTATGTGTCTGTGGGTGGTGGGATTAATACAGGAGGACTTAGATTGGATGTAATGATGCAAATCAAAGGAAGTCAAGCCCAAATACCCCCCACCATCTCTTGTGTCTCCTGTGTCTCATGTGTCTCCAGTCTTAACATTTGGAAATGGGATCGAGCTGCTGGGGCCTGAGGGAACACAAAGCCGCTCACTCCTAATGTACCCACTTAGCTTCTCTGATTCTTTTTCTATTAGTTTACCATGAATCACTCTTGTTTTCTTTTGCACTCACTGGCAATATTTTAGATGGAAATGTCTAATTAACATCTGCAGTGAGATATTTAAGAGCTTAGTAAAGAAAAAAGTTTAAAGTAATGGCAAAAGAATCATTGCAGAACAGCCATTTAGTTAAAAACAGTACAATGCAAGATTTAATAACTTTTATTTAATTATAGATTATACGTTTACTGTTAATACTACAAAAATTCTAACATAAATATTGCAAATAAAGAGAGAGTAATAATTATAAAATTAAATGTTTAAGGGTCCATCAGTTGCTCGTCTCCATGGAGATCTTGTTTGTTTGGAAAGTTCCACAAGCATTTATTTATCTTTCATTTATTCAATTATTGGCATATTTATTGCTAACATATTATCTTAATAACATGCATTCTTACTGTGAGTGAGTGGGCTCATCTCTTCACAGATCTGACCTGTAATTTGGCCTGGTTCCACCAAATAATTGTCTCCTTTGAGATGGATACATTGAATGACATACTGTGGAACTTTCCAGGAAGAGCAAAAACATCTCCATTGAGACAGGCAAGTCAAAGTTACATAGTGCGTCTTTTAATTTATATGACTTGCACATGCCTACATACTAAAGAAGGATTTTAAAATACCTTTTATTTTTGTGATCAGAAGTAGTCTGTAGTAATAGTTTGTTTATCTGTGTCCTATTAAAAACACTTAATTGCCTGTGTCATATTGCCACTTACTTGACAGTTCATCCTGGATCTGTGGTTTTGAAAATAAAACTGGGTGTCACTTTGAGCCTCCGCCTCTCGCCCCCACACAGCAATCAGTAGGGGGCGCCGGCCGTAGCTGTCATGTCACCCAGTGCGCCACTGTATTAGCCGACATGTGACCTTTAATGAACACAAGCGGAGCCGTGCTGTTCAGGGAGGTGAGCCTTGTGTGTGAGAGCACACCACGGGCTAATGAGAGCGCCTATGTCAGACCACAATAACCCACCACACTCAAGCCATAAACACCTCATCTGCACCAGGCTAATAAGGCCTCCGCGCACACTGTCACACCTAAACACTATTGAATATCCAAGAATTCAAATACTGTAATATGTGCTGGCTGTTCCCTTGACTTTATTGTCATACTCAGTTAAATGAACTAAACAGCACTTTGAAACGATTATAAACTATAAAAAATATGACCAAGCAGAGATTTGTACTACCAAGGGATGGGCAAATATTGACATAAGAAATATTATTTGGGGGAGGAAATATTAGAATGACAATATTCAGACTATATGCTAAAATTCATGTTGTGTAGTGCATAAAATTTTAAGGGACAACAAAATTGACCACAGAAGAGCAGACATTCCTGTTTATTATAAGTAATATAGTTAATACTTTACATACTTTTTTGACATATCCAACTGTAACTCCACAACAGTAATATAGATGCAGTGGTCAGATCTGTATACACTTAAGTGATCTGCTTTATATTAATAGAAAAAGTTATAAGGTAACCTTTACTTGTTCCATGCACATGAGGAAATTGCATGGCTAACTATCCAAAACTATCACTATCACTAAAAATAAACCCATTCCATCCATTCTGTCATAACAAACACCACAATCACAACTTGCCAAAATCTAAACTGTACTTTTACATTTTCTTCATTTGTTAATTTTTTCTTTTACATTCCCTGATTTTGCTCTGCTGTTGCTGCACCCATCTGGCAGTGCTCTGGATCCTAAGTGCTTCCCAAGAGTGTCGTAGAATTAAATTTGATGAGGCTTTTCCTTTTCATCTCAAGCCTTCTTCTTGTCCCAAAGGCGTTATCAGATTAGCCTATCCAATTTGTTTTGGCTAACAGTGTCTTTGTAACCCTATCTTGTTATTTGGTCCTTGTTTTCATGTGTTCCATTTGAAGTCCTTGATAAACAGAATTACTTTGTTCTCATCATCTATTCCTTTTTTTTTTTTTTTTTTTTTGTGCTGCATAGGTCTTTACCTTGAGGCGTACAGAATGGAAAATGGAGAACGTGGCTTTGTTTATTTCAAAGTGCAGTTCTCAGTGGGGCACACTCATTTCGCAAGTACAGTACAACAAATTATGGCCCTTCTTTTCATCCCATTATTTTTTTCTGTGAGCCAAACAAAGAATTGCAGCTAACATTCATAATTATTAGGCTTCAATTTGTTGACTACTTCAGCGGAGGGAAGCTTGATCATTTTGTTCTTGAAGTTGAGTGCACTTGAAAGTTGTGGACTGCAAATTGAAAATAACAGGCGTCTACATGACCCTTTGAATGCTTTGCTAATAATAATTGCCGTCAAGAATACAACTCTGCCCTTGTCCATATTCTGAAAATCAGAATTGCTCTGTTTCCAAGTTTCTAACATTTGTACATTTTCAGTGCAACAAAACTTTGTACACACCTTTTTACTACAATATTAACAGAAGAATCAATGAAATTAATGCCGTAGTATGTAACTTTTTTGCTAAAAAATATCCTGGATAAAACTTTTTTTTTCATAATGGATGTTTTCATAGCATTGAAAAGCATTCCATACAAATGCTGTAAGATTCCACATTATGGCATAAAACATATGTCTCCATGTAAAATGTTCCCAAGTGTGGTTTTACTAATTCTATTTCCGTGGAATCATGCAGGTGATGTGCCAGCTCTAGAAAGTACCATATTGTACTTTTAAACAGATAATTGCTTGTAGCGTGAGACCAGATTTGTGTTGTCAGAGTTGTGTTGTATTAACTTGCCTGCACTTTCAATGCTGAAAATCCCTTTGGGTTAAATCTAAAAGGACTCCCTCTGCTCTGAATGATCACTATCTAAAACCCCAGCATCTGCAGTCAGTCATGAATCAGTGCTAGTGCAGCCTCTGAAGCTCAGGGAGGGAATTCTGAAGATGCTGAGCTTTCACATGAGGCCTGTCCATATACTGAGAATGAGAAAAACATCTTTGTGTACTCTGTATACAGGTTAAGGCACTGGTGATCCAGGTTCAGTTGCGATTGTACTAGAGCAAGTCATGAAAAAATATGTTGAGGCAAATGTTCTTTTAATATTAGCCCACACTGCATAAAAATCAAATGTCTATTTTAGAAAATCGTCTATAAACATATTGGGGCAGTACTAAGCAAATAAGCATACATCAGTTTTCTGTTCTCTGCATAACCAAAGACAAAGAACGGCTTTCATTATACATTAGCTTGTCAGCCATTTTCCTTATCTTCATTATATATTGAAATAAGGCAGCAGCATTTTGGCTTGCAGCAATTCAATATTAGACATCGCCTCTAATTCTCCCAATCCGGCGTTCCACTAAATCCTATTGCCGACCATAAAGCGACGTACGCGAGTCTGTTATTTAAATCGGCTTTTCTTTTGCGCAGGGGCCACAAACGCAAGCACGATGAAGCCAAGGAGGAAGAGGAGGAGGAGGATGACGAAGGATCGAAGGCGGGGGCGGGCTCTGATGAGGAGTCCTCCAAAGACTCTAATGAGGAAGAGGAAGACAGCGGCTCAGAGGCAGACGAAATGGCCGCAGCTTTAGAGGCAGAACTCAACGACTTCATGTAAAATTCAAATCAGGAAATGGACAAATTTAGCGCTTACCCCCGAAAAAAAAAAAAATAATGTAAACGTGGTACCTAAAGCTATTTTTCTGAACTTGTGTGTGTCCCGAGAGCTGAATGTGCTGTACAGTTGACGCGCTGTGTAAATAAGTGGATAGATTTTTGTAGCATTGGTATATGATAGCTTTTTGGAAAAACATTTTGACGTTTTATTGTGACGAAACCTATAGAAGAGATACGATTTGATACTTTTTTGTTTTACTTTTCCTAATGTCAATTTTTATATTGATTTAAAAAATATAAGAAAATAAATATAAAAAATGAAAATAATACATATTAAAAGAAAAAGCTGGTTGAAAATGCCAAAGAGTTTTCACATAGTATTGCTAGGATGTGCAGCTAAATATTTTACTACAACATTGTACTTTGTTTTGGCCGATCTTTGGTGTCATAAATTTAAACAGTGGTTCTAGACATTTGAATGTGTTTTGTCACATTTCTTCCACTTCTGAATACTTTGTACTTCTATAAAGTGATTTTGTTGTTTTTTTATGGACTATTGGTGCACTAATAACTTTAAAAAAATATGCCAGTTCTTCATTTGCATTTAGAAATGAGAAAAAACTGCATTGTCATTGCTAATATTTTGCCAAATACTTTTCTCAATGTTCACATTGTTACCAGCAAAATTTATCATAACATAGACCTTTTTTGGGCCTAAACGAAAGTGATACAAACTATTTACATTTCCCAAAATATATGTTTTATTATTCATTGTTGTATACTCATGTAATCTATCTGTTTGATAAATATTGGCAGCCCCTTAAGGACCTCTGCTGAGTGAACCACAGTCTTATCCAATTGAACATATAGTTTGGTTCTTTTATCTGAATTTCCTTCCTTGCTGTGGTCCGGTTCAGTTCAGATTGGCATGTGCTGACTCATTACATGGTCAAAGCCATAGATACTCATGCGCTCCATGGGACTTCGCTACAAATCATAGTATGGGTGTGTGTGTGCTTATTTTGCACAAAAATTAGGTGTATTTTACCATAGCTTTGACAGCCAGACTTACCAACACAAAGTAAAGTAAGTTTGATAGGCCATATGTTTGGATTTAGGTACATGGTCTCTTATGTAAACGGTCAACATCATTTGGACATGGAAACAGGGCTGGGCGCTATGGCGATTAAAAACTGAATTATAATCTGATTAAAACATAACCTATTTACTTTATCATGTTACCTTTAATTGTTTTGAAAATGCTATATTAGCTGAAAACAATCTATTTAAAGTTTCAGTTTTGGCTCTCCCACGCCCTTGCTCACCACACTAAGTTACTCCCTCTTCAGAGCACTATTGCAGCACAATCTACGTTTATCCTGCTCATAAAACCACTGCGCATTGCATCAGGTTTGTGAAGTTGGAGTGTATTGTTTGTTTCATTCTTTTGTATATTGTTTAGGCCTTGCAGGAGCGTGGGTTACATAGACTTGTGGGATGAGCATTGGCCAGCCTTGCACTGCCAAAGAGGGTTTCGAACAGTGCTCAAGATTACTCAAAGATGCATGGATGACATCTAAAACCACTTCATGCATGTTCTAGATGAGGAAAAATGTTATAATATGATTTTTGCATAATACCCTCTTTATATTACATTTAAAATAAAGCTTTTAGAAGCAAAATGGTTTTAGCCAAATGGCATCTTTATTGATACACACAGCCTCAATTACAGCCATTAAATATAAATGTCTATAATGGTGATCTTTTTTGCTATTGATGCTCTTTTCTGCTACACCTAAACATGAACTAAACAGTGCAATACCACTCTGAACTGAACCATTCCACTTCAAGAGTACACTTATTGTATATTTTGTGATATCTTGTACTTCAAAGCCCCTTGTGCTAATGTGCATCCCTTCTACCACATTTCCTATGCATTTGTATTATATTATATAGAACAGCCCACATCTCCTCTATTGAATGACCTTTAACTGGTTTATTTTATGCTTATCCAATGACATACATGTATAGTGTTTGTAAAGTCTTGTTTCTCACTTGGCCCAGCGACGAATATCAAAATCTCCACAAATAAATATGTTGTTTGAACCTCCATCCCATCTGGCTCATTTCTTTTTAATGTTTTAAAAATACCATGCATGAAATAAACCATGTAACCAAATGGAGGATTTCTGCATTAGCCTTTTGCTGCCCTTGGTTTTATGATGTTAAATTATGATTACCGCTCATAGCTCGCCAGGAGACAACTGGGCTGTTTGGGAGCCATAAAAGTGACACCCAAACAAATAGACCCCATGGCTCCAAGTCATTACAACATGATTCAGCTGCAAGATTCATCACGACTACAGTTTTTGAAGTAGCACAAATACAATATCCTTTTCGGCACACAAATTGCTAACAAAATTGATTCTTGTGAGTTTTATCCATGTTATAATGTTGTTACCACCTCAAAAACATGAGTGGTGTTTTGTTTCATTCACACATTTGAGTAATCTACATCTCCAAAGCTCATAACACTCTGTCCCACCTTATGATGTCATGTAGTGGTAGGTAACAGCTACCTTTGTCTTCAGTTCAGTAAAAAAATGGGCAATTCCAGAGCTGAAGTCATTTCAGTTTGTCAAGTGAAGATGTTTGGAGTTTAAAAACACAGTGGGGCAGTTCCTGTATTTCCACATGACATCACAAGGTGGAACAGTATTTTCAGTTTCAGAGAAGACCACACCCTGAATATGCAAGGTTTGTGTGTTAAATATGTGTGTATGAAACAAAACCAGGTTTGTGATGAGGAAACAACATAAGTGGGCTGGGTATCATTAAGAAGTTGCTGATAAGATACATACCTTGATACATAGGTCACGATACGATACTTATCTCGATACAGTGCACATTCAATTCAATACGATATATTTCAATCGATTCAATACAGTTCATTAAAAAATAAAGGCTAAATCATGACTGTGATACTAAAAGTCTTTGTTAAATCACATCTTGTGCAAAGTGAATATGAAACACAAACATTTTAATCATAAAAAGTGAAAATGTCAAATGTGTCGCATAAATGAGTTTCTTTCCTCTAAACAAGCAACAAAACTGTAGCACTGTAACAAAATAATTTAGGAAAGTATACCAAAAATACTCTTAGCAATATATCGATACAGCAGCCCACAATATCAATTCTGTATCAGCACATTACGACACGATATATCGATATTTCAATATTTTTGCACACCCCTAATTATAACAGATCAGAAAACTGTGTAATATGGGCCCTTTAAAATGTGAACTTTGACACAAATCGAGTCACCAGGAAATTATAGAATTAGATATTTTTCCCAAACAGAAGACTTCAACCAAATAGTTGAGTGTGATTGGTGTAAACATCTCCAAACGTTCACAGGTTCAGAGGCCATTTTGTTGTCATTCTTCTGGAGTAATTGGCTAAACCACTGATTGCAGAGCGTTGGAAAATTTGAACTCATGAAAGTCTATTGAAATATGTGCGGAGATGTTGTGTTGTGAGCCAAAGCAAATAGTAATAAAGAATGATCAGTTTGACCTCAGTGTTTAGGTCAGAGATCATTTGCTTCCCTCAAGCTTAAAGGATGATGAAGAAGAAGTGAAGATGAGAAAGTCCGATTTTGCCCATGATTGGATGATGTTTCGCTCTGTTTTAAACAAGGTACATAATAAAACTAGAAGATTTTATGTATTATTTATGTTCTAAATATCAAAATGCTCCATAATCTCAATGCTCTATGTATAAAAGACATCAACTGTGAACTTCAAGTCTGAAATGTCAATCTTAAATATATTATTAAATTATTTGGAATTGATCACAGACTCCTGAAAATGTGTGGTTGAAATCCATTTTGTATCTTAAAACTTTTTTGTCAGTGTTTGCTATTGTTGTGCATTGTGTCTCCACGGTAACTGCTTAACATTATACCATAGAGATGCATGTAGAACACCCCCAGCATAATGTAACTGCAAAGTGTCAATACATTTTAATTTCAAACCAGTTTTGTGTCATAATATAAATATTGTAATTTATTTAAATTATTCTTTTTATTCACAACCCAGTATGTCAGTTTGAGTCTTGTTATGACTTGTAAATAGCTTGTTGTGCCCATGTGAACAATGTTTTTCTATAAATTCTTATTCTCATCTGTTCTTCCCTCTCCTCACGCAGGAGTGGGAATTTAAAACGTCAATCAAGTGGCCTTTGAAGAAATCACATAGCATCCATTGCCTTCAGTGTAAACTAGCTCTTCACAGTAAGAATCGCCTGGCAATGTTCAGGAATAGGGCATTTTATAGGCGTGTAAACAGTGGCTCAAAGGTGTGCTTCAGATGAATGTGACGCCTGGGGAGAGGTCATTACAGGAACGCTTTGTGGTGAATACAATTTACTAAGACGTGCTTGTGAATGTGAACAGCCTGTTATTTTAAAGCCGCTGCAGCAGAGAAGTCTTGTTGAAATCGGTGTAAAAAACATCTTGTTAAACGGTTAGTCTGCAAACTAATATTGTTGTAGGGTTAAAACTAATACGTTTTTAAATTTGTTTTAGTACCATTATTCATGAGGTATCATTAGATTTATTTATGTTAAAATGCACTTTTTGATAATTTAATCATTTAGCTGCCAAATTATTGCCTGGCAAATCCAGACTGATATTTCAGTATTTTTTATACATATTGATATCAGGCTGGTTTCCAAGCCATCTACTGTTTCTCAAACTCAATCAATGTGGTCATTCAATCAGATTTTTTAGTTTTTTTCAGTGAGACGTGGAATGAAGGAGCTCCTTGGTCACCTGTATTTAGAGATAAAATGAACTTTATCTGACCTCAGATTAACAGAGTTTAGTGCTTAGCTCATTGATTCTGCAGAATGTTTTTCAGACCCCTGTGATATTTGTTTCCTTATTTTTTTCCAATACGAACAGACCATGCATGTCCCGGATTGGCTAATCCACCTGTCACTCATGCCCATTTGAAAGATGGAGGATTCTAGCCAGACTGGCGCTACCTAGTGCCTGCGCTCAATTAAATTTCTCTCCAGTGACTAGGTCAGGAATTGGAATACACTAGACTGTTTGGAAGAACCCCAGAAGTTGTAGACAGTGCACCAGCAGGTCAGCGAAGAGCTGTGTGGTACAGCACAACAGTAAACAAAGCATTCTGCATTCTGTGTTGGCAACGATTCCCAAGATCGAGGATTTAAAGATGGAAACAAAGAGAATGTTTGGTGAATTTTATCAAGGGGAAAGACTTTTTTGTCCTTCTTCCTACGGGATTTGGGAAAAGCTTAATATACCAGTTCGCCCTGTTAGCGGCGCATTACATAAATCATGACCAAATAGCAGCGATTGGTTAAATTAAAAAAGTACCTGCCTACCGTTGAGCAAATGAATCATAATGCTGCGAGGTCAGACGGTTTCCACAAAGTGAAACCGTCTGATGAATCAGGTTAGGGGAATTCACCAGTGACCAGACTTACATCTTTTTAAAGTATTGAAGTGTGATTTCCTTGTAGTTTTGACCCTTTAGTTTTGACTTTTACAAACATTTTTGGATTAGATTATCAGTTCATATTTCAGTCTTCTCTCTAATGTTAAAATCTCCAAGGTCGTTCATAGCCCCCCCAAAAAATCTCCAAAATCAGTTATTTGGTAGTCACAAAGGATTCAATATCAAATCAATAAAAGTTTTAAGGTGAGTTTTTCTTACCTTGTTGAACAGAAAACAGAATAATCCATACTTGCTTTGATTGACAGGTCTTGTCCTCTCAGTTTACTCCCCCCTCCCCTCCTGTTCTCTTCATGATCGTCTCCGCTCCACAGTGGTCCTGGTCTTGTGTCGGGGCGGCCATGATTGATGCTCTGTGGACATGATGAGTAGCCTTCGGATGATTGACAGCTGAGGTCAGGTCCTCTGTGGACAGTGTGGGTGACTCTGTATGTAAAGGTCAAAGGTCAAACATGAGGCGGAACGAGGATGAATACTCAATGACCATCCAGGAAGTAGCCAAGAGCACTTCTTCAGATTGCAAAATTATATAATCCATGCTACATAGACAGAAATAGGTCTCTCATTACAATAACTACACTAATAATTACAGGTATGCCATCTACTTGTTTCCATAATGTTTTTCCTTTGTCTGGAATATTCCACAATATGATATTTAAGTTATCTATCTTAATTTTGTTGTTTTTATTGCTCAAAAATCACAGCCCAACATTTTTTTTTATTTTAATCTTACTTCTGTGATTGCATGATTTTTCACTAATATATATTTTTTGTTATTATTTACTTAAGATAATAAGAATGATTCTATCCTTGTACTTTTTTACCTAATAATTTCTGATATTGAGTCTTTAAAGGTCCTATATTCAGCAAAAGTGAGCTTTTAGCCATGTTATACTGTTGTTTCCTCATCAAAAACACACCCAGGGTTGTGTTTGTTTAGTTCAGACATGTTTGAGTAATCCTTTATTGTAAATCTGTCTATATCTCCAAAGCTCAAAATGTTGCTGTTGCAGCTTGTGATGTCACGAAGTGGTAGTTTTCATGTTAAAGTTACCTTTTGATTTTTTGTCAGTAGAGATTGGCAATACCAGTGCTGAAACTGTCCAAATGATTCGAGGTGTATGAAGTTTAAAAACACTGTGAAGCACTTCCGGTATTACCAGATGACATCACAAGGTGGCACAGAGTGTTTTCTGTTTGACAGAAGAACTCAGCCTACATATGTGCAGGGTTTGTGTGTTAAACATGTGTGAATGAAACAAAACACAAATCCAGGTATGTTTGTGATGAGAAAACAACATTATAACATAGATCAGAAAATAGTGTTTATATATCCCCTTTTTGAGACCCACTGTACAATGGCCTATAGTAACTCACTGCTGAATTATAGGAAGCAGGCTGTCCTTATTGTATGCAGATCCTGGCTCGGTGCAGGGCAGGTGTTCAGGTGGAGTGAGGTGATAGAGCTCAGACATCAAAGTGTGTCCAGAGAGCAGACATCTGTGCCGCAGCTGTGACCCAGGACAGAGCCTCCAAGCAGGAGGGGGGCTGCTAATGTGA